GTGAACTCAACTGCATTTTACGTATATCCCGAGTGACAGGTGAGTATTTCACACCCTTCTCTTCAACAAAGTCTCGTACAATCTGTCACAACAATGCCTTAATAAATGTTAAAATTGGTGACAGACATGTAGAAGCCAACTCATGTTAACCACACTTTTCAAACAAGGCTAGTCAAAGCTTGTCGGAGTGATAACATTTTGAAAACACACCACTTAATGTTTAATCATTCAACGATCCATCAGGAAGGCAGAAGCATCAGCCACTTTGCAATGGGAACTATAGGAAATCACTACAGAATTACTTATCCATGTGAGGCAGAAAGAAGTTATAATTTGACCATAGCCTCCTAAACATTTTCTGACACTGAAAAAAGGGCAGGCTGCTGTATAATTACCCACTGCAAGGCCTTCTGTGTCCTCCTTTGATAGCTCGGATATGGGACACAGCGTAAGGACAAGGCTAGATGGCTAGCTGTGCTTTCCCACTGTGACAGAATTCAAATACATGGCATGTTTCAAATGTTGTGGTTTGGTCTCATCATTAGGTTTTTGCTGCTATTATGTTTTCATGTATGTATTTACTACGCGTTTTATATACTTAAGTAGCTCAGAGAAGGAGTGAACCTCCAGGAACATGCACTCTGTAAATGTCAGCACAGAACCCAACCCAATACACATCATAGGAAAGAATTCTGAATGCTTTGGCCCCATCTCTAAAAGAAAGTTCAAGTTTCAGATCTCTGACAGATGTTAGTACTCCATTCACATTTTGTGTTCAAACCTGCACCTTGAAAATTTGTCTCAGCTTGGCCACAGGTTTCAGTAGTCAGATCTGGGCACTGTTGACCAGAGTGGACTCAAATGTCCCACTGTGTCTGGATTACAGAACTGCTTGCCTCATGTGCCAGACACTGATAAAGTACAACATATCCACTCCATGCTTAGTGGTCCTTTAACCAGAAAGCCTATTCTTGTGGTTGCAATTAATACTGAGGAGGAGCAAGAATCTTTCTGTGCAGCCAAGAGTCATTTTTGCAACCTAGCTTCCGAAGGAGTGAAGCTGACGTGATAACATTTTGTTTGTTTGTGTGCATCCCACCATAACTTCTGAGCTCTCTGGTCAATTCTGAACAAATTTAATAGACTGAAAGACATTTCCAGTAAGCTGCATGGAAATTAATAGTCAGGTAGAGGAAAACAGACATATAAATATCCCCAGTGAGGAGAGGATTGCAGCCTGAACTCATATTTTATTAGACATTAGAAAATCTATCTCACAGAGAGCAAGCATGAATGTCCCAAGAATGAGAAACGCTTCATTCAGAACATGCACCTACTATAGGTAATTTAATTGCAATGTGAGACAGAAACCATCATCAATTAGTAATGCTGCTCCCTGAACTACTGATGTTAACCTGTCAGTGAAAATCTTATTAAGTCTATAGCATCATTTGTGATACTAGACTTTATGTGGGGAACTGACTGTTTTAACATGCTTATTGTAAATATTTTATATTGCTCTCAACCTGATAACACAGTGACAGGGAATGCTAGGCATTTGGGATACCCTGGAGGGGCAAAAATAAATGATAGCTCTCACTCCAGTGCTGCCTTTTGAAGGGACCCTAGTTAGCCAGATAATGCTACGGGACAATTGTGGATAAATCCCAAGAGAGCTTTTGGAGTGTCATCCACAGAAGCCTTGCTGAGAGCAGACATAATCAGTTCCAGCTGAGCACACAGGCACATAAATTTAGAAAGGTCTGGCTGCTTTCGTGCTAGGAGGGAAAAGGCATTTCTGCCTAGCAGCCAGGACAACACACTGGAAACAGGAGAATGACCCTCTTTGTCTGTTTGGTGCCCAGCTAGGTGTGTGCTTTGGAGCTGCGGGATGGAATTGCATTCACTGCCTGTGAAAATTGTTTCTTTTCGCTGGGTAGCTGAAAAATTCCCATAAAATACTATGCAGAAGTTTCTCTGCTTCACAGGGGAGTCCTCTGAGGTCACTGTTCAGCAGCCCGAGACTTGGCCTCCCTACAGGTGTTCGCAGTGTGCTAAACAGTTGCCAGGGACATACGTAAAGCTCTCTCTTGGGACGCTTTCCTAAAACATCTAATCTAAACACCGGTATTGCTGCACTTTTATGTATATCTTTGTGTGTTCTGGCACCTGATAAAAATTCCATTATTTTCAGCGAGTGAGTGTCACCTGGTGATACCACAGCTTCCTCTGAGGAGGTGCTTTTGCAGAGTTCATCCTTAGGTTATATGTGGGCTATTCTCCATTCCTCCACCCCTCAAACTCCAGGAAACTCATCTGAAAAACTCGACTCTTGTGCGTCTTGTTTGGATTTCTTCCCACTACAGAAGGTACTAGCTAAAGCCCAGCTGTTGTCAGACAAGTGACGGCTCAGCAGCTGAACTCCTGTTGTGTACAGAACAGTAAAAGCACAAAACGACACAGGAAACCTCTGCCAAGTATTGATGGAGCAGCTACAGGTTCATTGTTGGAAGGACCACTAGTGACTACTAAATGCCATCAGATGGTTAAGGACAGCCAGTTATGGTTTAACGGCTCCTCTCGGGGTCCTGGGAAACTAACTTGTAAAAAGCACCAGAGGCCCACTATATCCCTTTGTCTTTTAAGTAGCCACAAAGGCATTTATTTAACTGAGCATGCCAGAGAGTGGAATCTCTGACACAAACGGATCTGGCTGAGGAAGACACACTTGCTGCAGCCTCTCTAAAGGGGAAGAATAATTTCATCTTCCTGGCTGCTCGGCCCTGGGTGTAGGTTAGACAGATGCTTTCTCTGCAGTCACAGTGGGATCCTCCAATTTACTGCAAGCTTCTAAAAACTTTAGATTTCCAAATTCACTGCACACAGGTTATCCAACGACAACCACCGTAATCACTATTGCTGAACTGAGATTCAAGCCTGTGGTGAAATGGCACTGCTTTCTGGATCAGCGTGATCCTCAGTGGACGGATTCTGCTTTTCTAATATTGAAATTTACTGTTTGTTTTTTAAGAGATTTACTAAGCACTGTGACAATTTTGCAATATAAAGTCAACCAAGACAATTTCCGGAGTATTTCAAACCCATATTTAACTACAATTGAGCTTCAAAAGTTGCCCTGTTAATGTCATTGTGGATAGTGTGAGAGAGACAATGCTTTCAAATAAATCTTTTAGCTCTTACCTATGGCTACATTGCTTGGGACAATTATGGAAGAAACACTCAATTCTCTGCTCACAGATCCACTCATGAAAGCACACCGTATGAGGCAGAAGTAGTTTCTTCCTAGTGCTAATGGAATAGTCCATCAAACCTTGCTTTGCAGCTGGTTTTGGTAGAGTATGAAAAAAGACACTCGCTTCTGTAGGTTTGATGACATTGACACGCTTTCCTACCACAAACCTCCCCAATACGTTGAACAGTTTGAATTAAACCTTCACCCATGGCTTCCCAAGCACCAGGGAAGCTGTCAGTGTACTGACTGAACAGGCTGTAACGTGCCGTAGTGACAGGAACAAAAGCAGCGATGTGCGTAGCACTGAACGAGCGTGTTCAATGGACTAGCCCATGCTAGTTACACCTAATACCTACGCACATCTAACTTGTCGCTTCCGTGCGAGCCAGCATCCATCTCCCCTGGACCTGCAGTGCTCCTTCCAGACAATCAGTCCCTGTCCCTCAGTGCCCTGCCAACCACCAGAGGATGTTTTATAGCTTCACCTCTGTCAAGCTGAACAATTCACTGACTGTTGAAAAAGCAAGCGCTATTTTTTTTCCCCTTCCTTTCCTTCTTTTCCTCAGAGTGCCCAAAACAGGCCTGACAAGGAAAAAAAAAAAAAAAAAAGCAAACTGTACAATCCTGGTCACATACAGTCAGTTTTATACTCTGGGCAAAGCACAAAGAACTGTCAAAACCACGTTCTTGTACATGCTGCTAATTAGAAAGCACAGCCTGAACATGGGGTCCTTTCTAATCCGGGAATTCTGGGAAGCACGGCTGAGGGTGAGGACAGTACTGCTGAAGACCTTTCCATGGGAAAGGGTGGTGAGAGCACATGTCAATGCAGTGGATTCAGAAGTCCCTCGAAATGCTCAGACAGCTCCTAGTTAGAGCTGGCATTGGGTAAGCACCTATATCCAAGCCCTCCATTTGGCTCAAGGACTGAAGATATTTCTTGGGATGTAAATCTAGGCTGCGTCAAACACTTCTTTGGTGCCCTCTTCTCATCATTTGTACATTAGTATAAAAATCCCTAAAATTTATACACTAATTTCTTCACCTTCTACGCAACACATTGAAGCCATTTCTCACACGCACATTTTTAGCTAAGACTACCACATTTTTAACTCATTGAAACATAACTGCTCTTGTTCTCAGTCTACCTACAGCAGTTGAAAAATGTTTGATGCTTATTTCAAACTACACAGACAGGTTCAAATAATGAGCAAATAGGCTATTGCTGTGTATGAAAAATGCATTACTTCTGTTTGGAAAGTAATTCTAAAGAAGAGTTTAGATGCCACCTGGCTCTTGTTCAGATTTGCAGTTGTGCCTCCTCACATTATTTAAATAATTCCATTATTCCCCTTATTTGCAATGTTTTGGAGCATAGTGTGCTGCAAGCCAAAATTAAACTTATATGTAAATGTGAGCAACATTTTACCTGAGTGACATGAGGAGTTCCTGAGACTCTGAGCGCCAGCCAGCCATCTAGCACACTGCACTGAACTGCACATGCTAATAAGGAACATCTTCCGTATTAATTGTGTGCAACAGATAGCAATTCAGTGAGAAAAAATGTTTCCAAAATGATCTACTTTTTTAAAGGTTTCCACAATTAGCCCTTTTAATCAGCTCTATTCATGTACTTTTTGGACGAGCCAACACTTACAAAAGGAAAAAAAATTATGAAGGAAATATAAGAAATAACTAATCAAAATAATTAAAAAACAATACAGTTTCCATGGATCTGGACACTTACCTACAAGCAAGATTACTAATGCATCTGTGATGTAATAACCGAACAGGAGAGGCTTCTGCCAGATTTCCACCCCAACAGTACCAGTGAGCAGATACGCTGTAATTAATATCTATAGAAAAAGGATAAAGCATTTTCAGTCATTTACTTCTGAAGGCACAGAATTTTGCTTATCATCTTAGTACAAATGCAAGAGTAAAAGGGCCTGTTATTTTTCTCCTGGCTCCACTTTACAGGACATTATGCTGCCATCCCGAAACAATTACTTCTAGGCAGTGAAGCAGCTTCCAGGGTCACCAGCAAAATCATTTAATAAATATGAAACACAGTAAGCAAGCAACTTCCCTGCTGATGTGTGCATCTGTTTGCATGTGGTATTACTGACATACCTTTTCAAAACACTAAATTTCATAATCCCTTCTTAGTGCCAAGTCTCCCTGCTGCAAATGCATTTTCTTGCTTTTGCTCACATTCTTCAGAATTAGCAATGTGGTTATTTTGCAGCTCAGCCCCCTGAACTGATCATATCAGAATAACTGAAAAGGCAAAAAAAATCTAAGACACCTGAAATACTAAAACAATTCAATTGAATGTGAAGAAATAAAAAGAAGGGTAGGGAGATGAAGTCTTCCCTGATACTTAATTTGTTGGACAGATAACATTATTATATGACACAAAAAGAAACACGTAGTCAAATATCATTAGGAGTGAAAGGACTCATACACAAGACTCCTGAGTTACTTGCTGAAATGCCACCAGGTTCAGTAGAGATGTAAATGCAGTTTCTACTCTCTCTTCAGAGTCGATTTAGTGATCCAGCTGAGGTCAGAAATCCTAACGCAGTCAAAACCCTATAGCTCGTATAGCAACACCTTTCACATCCGTTGCATTACCTGTAGCAGCACGACCTACAATATATAGAATCATAGAATGGTTTGGGTTGGAAGGGATCTTAAAGATCATCTGGTTCCAACCCCCCTGCCATGGGCAGGGACACCCTCCACTAGACCAGGTTGCTCAAAGACTCATCCAAACTGGGCTGATGACACAAATTGATGAAGTTTTATCATTTTAGGTGTGTCACACGCAAACCATAGAATCATTAAGGTTGGAAAAG